TTATATTTTTAAGTACCAAGTATATCTTCTACAAGATTGATCACCTAACCGAAGTTTATTTGTATGTTTACTGTAGATTAACTTTTAGCGAGTTCTTCAGTTAGTTTGTTTGAATTCTTGTAATTTATATTTCATAATAATGTAAATGATATCGATATCATCTAAAATTATTTTGTAAAAATCATACATTATTTATTCGACTACAGTGATCAATGATCAGTGTACATAATTACTATGAATATTCTCATGTATCAAAAGTACAATAATGTCTGTAAACATTTCGACCATACTACAATACGTTACACTTTAATACGTTACATTTTTGTTTAATTGTAGCTAATAAAATAAATAATATTGCTGTAAGTTATTTTATTATTATATTAAAGTATCAAATAGTGTATTAATTATAATGTAAGTACAATGTTTATATTTATTGGTACAGAATTAATTGATTTTACTTTAATAACCGGCAATCTTTGTTGATAATGATTTTTATTTCTTTTTTTTTTTTTAATATGTTAAAATGTTTGTTAAAATTTAAGAAAAATGTTTAGTTCAATAGAAAAATTCTCATTTTATGTCAATATCTAATAACTAAATTTCATAATCATAAAATAAAAAAATGTTTAATCTAACAATACTCGTAACTATAAAAACATTTAAAAAAATGTATATTTAGGATATCTACAATCAATCTATATCTATAAAAATGTTATTAAAGTTTTATTTATTTTTTTTAGGAAAAAAATCCATTTAAGTTAATTAAAAAAACAACACTGAATTGTTTCATTTTAAAATTTTAAACAACTAGTTATATTATTATTTTATAAATACTTTACAGATTTTCTTAATTTAATGTATTTTACAAAGCATTGTTCTATTGTTATTTATTATGTCAAGATAAATAAAGGATTTTCTTTTTAGTTTTTCCTATATTTTAGTGTTTCTTTGTTTTTTCATACTTAACAGGTGTAATAATAAGAAATGTTATAAAATGTTTATTATGAGATTAATTAATATATTAAATTTTATGTATAAAATTAAAGTTTTTTTTTTTTTTTTGTTTGAATTACATTTCTATGACTTATATAATATTTATTTTATGGTAAGACGTATTAAAAAATTGTTTTTACTCTGTAAAAAAAATTGGTTTCTTTAATTTTCTATTTTTTTTTTTTTTTTTTTAATTTAAAAATAACTAAAAGCTAAGTAAGTACAAGACATTACACAATAATTAATTTGAATGGAAATTGTTATTTTTTTATTTACTCATGTAAAGTATAATCGTTTCATTTAAATTAGTTAAGTAGCATTTCGCATTATTTCTATTTAAATGTAGAACAATGTTATTTCATTATTATTTTTGCTTAATTTAATTATAACTATAGTTTATTAATAGAGGCATTTGGATTAAAGATCGGATAATATTTTATATTACATACATTTCAATTAATTAAAATAATTGATGAATATACGATATAGCTTAATGTTAAATCATAATTTACATGTACGCATATTAAAATATATAAATAAATAAATATTCATATAAAACAGTTAAAAACTTAATATTGTTATTTATTACAGAAATTAATTCAATAATAATTTCCTACCGTATTTCCATTAGCCATATAACCTTCTATGATTATTATTTATGTAATTGAGTTATTTTTATTTTTTCAATTTATAAGGTGAGTAAATTATTATAAACCAATTAAATTGTTGAATATGATCTTATTAGTCATAGTCAATTTTTTGGTATTTTTTTCAATGTATAACTATGTATTTTAGTTAAAAAAATAACAAATAATAGTATTGAAAACCCCTTTAATAAAGTAATTTATAATGATCTTTTTGTTCGTTCAAGATTTGTTTACGTATATAATTGAGAAAAATCGATTCTAACGATTTATAAAGAGGAAAAAAGTTTTACGACGTATTATTGCTTTAGTTTAGGGAAATAAATGTATATATTAATGCAATATTAAATCAACCTTGAAAATAGGTAACAAAAAAAATGGCAAAACAGATATGTAAACTATAATAAAATTAAAGAGAATCGCATATTTAGTCATACTGAGTTGTTTTTCCCACATGTTTAGTACCTAGAATACGTATTGTATATTTATACAATACCAACTGCTATTTTCGTTGTTTAGTCGCGAGTAGAATGAAGTCTTACGGACGAACAGTGGATCAACTGTGTGAAGTTTTAATAAAGTGTATTAAGAACGTACTTTGTTTTTGTGTGTGTCTATCATAAGACATTTTCTCAGAGAAAGGATATGCTTGAAAGATAAACAATCCCGTACTCGATCTAACTCATCACTAACTTAGTTGTTTAGTTTACCTAAGTACAATTATAAGCATAGGAAATATGGTTTATTGCGTACAATTTATATTCATTATATTAAGCGGCTTATTTTCGTGCCGAATTGCATACAAATTTAAATTAAAGAAATTCAAAAAAATATTAAATGAATATATATGATTTTGAAACTGTCTTAAATATCAATACACCTGTGTGGTTTTATTTTACCAGCTTCGTTTGGGGTATATTGAATTATAGGAAACGTTAAAATAGTTTATAATAATATTCTGGTGGTAATTTAAGCGGTAAAATAGTCGATACATGCTAATTCTTAAATTGTGAAACATAATAGTATAATAGTACTAGTGATGATTGTAATAATAGGCTAAAATAATTGGGCATTTATACTACTTTTTTTAGACATTGCGATGATTGATAAATATTTAGTGTTTCTTAGATAAAAATGTGATAATATATTTTTTATGAAATACAAGTGCTGGGGAAAGTACGTTCTGAAAACTAATCGAAAACGTTTGGTAGCTATAATGTTAAATCCTTAAGATTAGAAATAATTTATTCAAAATTAGATACAAATTTCAAAGAATTTCTAGTTGGAAAATAAATTATTAATCAAATTAATATGTTTATTTATTATTTTTTATTTTTAATGATTATATAAGTGCTAAAATGTGTATTACAAATGTATTACATAAGACAATGATACAATCATTACATTAAATAAATTTAAATATTTTTATGCTTAAATTTTCATAATATTTGAAAAAATGTAGATGATTTATTTTATTAAGTTTTTTATAATGTTCAACTTGGCTAGTAAATATAATATAATCACCCTGCATTCGTTCTAAATATTTTGAACCATGCGCCTAAAAATATACTTAGCAAACTTTCTATAGCTTTTCTAATGATATTTTTATTATTTTCAATAATTCTTTTGTGTATGATTTTCGGCATTTTGTTTGAAAATAGTATGCATTAAACCGATAGTGTACGTCACTTGGGGGTTGATGGATATTAATCTGTTTTGTGTGAAGAATCCCTCGGTAGTATTATTGACAAACACGCACATATAAACGTCAACTACAGTTGGTGTACGGCTTGACAACAATGCTATTCGTAAAGATATATAAAGACATTTTTAATATTGGATTTTGAGTAGATATTGCCAACACGTAATCAAAATATTGCCGAAGTGGTGTATATTTTCAATTATTCAAATATAATCCGTACGTATGTACTTACTTACCAACTATCTTTGAAAATGTTACTGTTCAAAATGTATTGAATTTGACGTATAACTTATATGCATATTTATTTATTATCAGATTATACGACTGAAATAACTTTTATTTGATTTGTTAATGCTGAACATACATAGACTAATGCATATTTAAATAGATTTTGATTAAAATGTTGTTGTTTTACAAAACTAGACATATTTTAATCGTATTATTAGTTTACTTAAATTGTATTATATTATTACGCGTTAACGTAAAAAAAAAAAAATTAATAAAAGACATAATAATTTAAACGATAATATTAATCACAAACGAATATTTTCCCAGATAATATCAAGAACACTAAATGCACAATATAATTAACATAGGTATTTACAAGTTACAGTATAATTATACATAATTGTCTTTAATGATAAACACTGTATGATTTAAGCCTATTGATTTACTATTCTGATTAAATTATTAAGTTAGAACTTATATCTCCTGACCCATGAAAATAATATTTATTGTATTTCAGATTCAGATTTTATACGTTCTTTTTTATAAATATAAAGTCCAACGTACAATTCTACACTTTTATAAAAATAAAAATAAATTAAAAAAATATTTTGATGTAAAATAAATAACAAATCTATACCATATTCGAAAACATAACTTAACGAAAACTAAACTTGATATAGTGGTGATTACGGAGTTATTGTCGTCTTAAATTGTACAAATATCAATACAACAAAATAAAGATTTTCTGGAACAATACTTACACCATACATTTCATCTTTATATAATATTTTATTTCGTATCATTTCTAGCAATATTTTTCAAATTAAGATACATTTTACAAAGTACTATTTGGCTGAGTACATTATCGTATAAATAATACATTCAATGTACCTACTGTTAAAATATTTAACACTTAAGCCTTTAGAGACTATAAAATGGTGTGCATAATTATATACATACTTTTTAATTAAGAAAAATATACGATATAATCATGTATAGATAAAATAAGCATAAAAGACAGTATTATTTAACAGGGCTTTATTGACGAGGTGGCTGAATCATCTAGTGATGACAGTTTGGCGTAAGTTTAATAAGGAGGGTCATATCATATCTTACGATAAGTGTTTAAATAATAAAATAACTAGATCTCATGGTTTTTGTGGACAGAGGTGAGTATATAAGTATTAGTAGCTTAGTAGTTGGTTGTATTTTCTTGGTGGATTTAAATTTCATATTAAGATCAAATAATATATTACGGGCTTAAGAAAAAGATTATTATGAATTTTAATTTTGGTTTTGTGTATTTTCTTAGACTGAATCTAATAGTGAATGATGACGTTTATTTAATAATAAATAAATACATAATAATTTCATTAACTGTAATACGTTGTGCGTAAAACGAAATATTTATTATAGCATTATAGTAAAATTACCTCATCTGATAGTTGTGAGTTCTACTGACGTCATCATATTTATGGTATGTAGCTTGGAACAGTAAATAGCTTTCTTCCCATTCAACTTGTACCCTCAATTGTCCTTTGTCTGTTAAAAAAGGACAACCTGAATCGCGGAGCTGAAAAAAAAAATACAAAACACGGTCAAAGTATTTCTTCAGTAGTTTTGAAAAGGATAACCATAATAGTGGTTTATAAAAACAACGTGGATACAATGCATTGAACTTCTCTATACAAGATTTAACTTTTTTTAAATTTGTTTAATATATAATTTTATTGTTAATAATATGTAATGGATCTAAATCGTTTATTTTATTTATATAATATAATATAGTTTATAAATACATGTTATGCAACAACTTCACGTTTAAGTGTTTAGGGAATTATTCATCACATATTATACTATAATATAGCACAGGTGTGTTAAGTTTTTTCTTTATTAACCTATTAGTTTTTGGTATTACGTCAAATCCACAAGACCAAAATAATGAACGTCAAAATTGAGTCGACAAAACAGCTTAGCATATAATAGCTAAAACACAAAACAGCGAATGTTCAAAACGGATAAAATATCTTATAATGCCATTTACTATTATTCTAGCTAAAATTACAACAATAAAATATTTATTGATTAGTGAATGTTTTTAAGAAAATAACTAAACAATAAACGTAGGGAATAAATAAATATATATTATAAAATACATTTAAAACTGCATTTTGTAAAATTAAAAAATAAATTTGTATACGTATATAGCTTAGTTTCCAATTTTTTGATTATCTATATTCAAAACAACAATGTGTTTTATTTTTGGATTTATTCATCAAAAATAATTTAAATTAAATTTTTAGATACTTAGAACAGTTCTAATTCAATTAATTAAAGCGTTACTTTCACGTTATATTACTATTCAGTACTAGAAAGTGTATCTTTTTTTTAAATTTACGTAGTATAATAAACTTTTAATATTTTTCAATAATTTTTATTTTGTATTATTTTTTTGTTTGAATTTTATGAAAATATTTTAAATACTTTAGCACTAAGAACAATAATCCACTTGTAAAATTGTATACTATAGAACTTAAATAATTTGTTTCTTATAAACCAATACTTGACATTTTCAGCTGACAGCTACCTATTACTAAGTGCATTGTTTAGCATTCAATTTTATCTTTTTCCAACATTTATTATTATTTATTTTACTTATTGTACACTTAATTTTTTTTATTGTCACTTTTTTGGTGTTCACTATTTTGGTTTCATGGTTATTTCTGTAACTTTTATTTTTTATTTCATAATTTGTATTATTTGCACTAACTTTTTTTGTTCACTGATCTACCTACTCAAAATTAAATAAGTCCAACATTCAATATTTTCTGGATATGGCCAATAATTAAAATCTATTACAGTTAATAAATATTTAATATTTACTATATCATATAGATATACACACAAGTAAAAAATAATAGTTTGTTTAATTGAAGAACTTTTAATATTGTTAGTAATTGAAACATAATATTTGATTAAAATATAACAATTGTCAATTACAACGTTAAGTGAAAAAAAAAATTCAAGATTATTGAAATAATTCATATCTTCGCAGGTAATAATCAACTAAAACTGAGTTTTTAAAGCCAATTCATAATATTGTCAGAATAATATTATTATGTTAAAATATCATAAAAATTAAGATTCGTATGGTATATTTCTTTCCAAGCGTATTGCGTTTTTTTCAACATTAATATTTTTTGCGTAAATTATAAAAAGAAGAAAAAAAAACAATAAATCAAATAATGGAAGGTTAAATATAATATTGACACAGGTTTGTATATAGGGTGTTAGGTTATTGACAACCGTTATATTTTGGACAGACAGTGAAATAGGGTTCGCATGTCAAAAATTGGTAGGTACTGATCCTCGTTGATATTTTGACTACATAATACGACCGTCTAAAAGACGCAGGTTTATCCCGATCACGTTTTGTAGAGGTTTTCTCTTATTCAGCGTACCGTGATATTGCGTTTTAATTCAGAAGTTTACGTCATTCTAGATTATTATACAAATATTATTATAATACAGTAACTATAAACTGTTTTGTCGACGAACAAACACAGGTATATCCAAATTCGTTGGGTATTAATATATTATCTTATTTTCAACAAAGAAAATTGTAAAATAGGCAAACAAAAATTTTGGATGAAAAAATATTTATTGAATAAAAAAACAATTTAATAAATATTTTAGATAGAAGTATGGTTTAAAATTTTAACAAATAAACACATATAAAATATGTATAGTATAAAGTAGACTTAGTGTATGAATAGGGACATTAAATTAACAACATACTTAATTATTAATAAGTAATAACAATGAAATAGTACTTATATACTACTTAAGTAACGTATTTAATAGAAATTTAACCACCAAAAGTATAATCATTATAAATATTATAATAAATGGGTCATAGATTGTGAATTATCTAATATTTATATAAACAAAATAATTGAAGTACGTTATTAAGTTTTCGAGTAGGTGCTTACGAAAAATGTCTACTTTGTGTTAAACAAGTTTCTTGCTTTATTTTTTGTTCAAACACAACAAGTACAAACATTTTTTGTCATAATATATCTATGTATGTGTAATATGTTTATGTCATAAATGATAAAGTTTATAACAGCTCGAAAATATTCTCTTTATGCGACTCAGTATATAACTTATTGGTTTATTTTACCAGTATATATATATATATATATATAATGAAATATATTATAATGTTTAATAAAGACCGTCTATCTTGATATTCATTTATATCGTATTGTGTATCATAATAGGTCGAACAAAGTTTTTAGGTAATGTCAACGTTGTTATTATTTTTGTGACTTAATTTAGTAAAATATAATATAATTTATGTAAATCCTAAAACGGATTCTTGTGTTTACATTTGTTTATTGTTGATAGTATTCAATTAATAGTTATTTTTGAAGTAAAAACAATTATAAGACATAAAAAATTTAGTGTTAGAGTAACGAAATTGAGACTACTGCATGGTGTTCAGAAAATTTAGTTTTAAGTATCAAAATTAACACATTAAGTAATAGTATTTTTATTTTTTCATACAGACATTATCGATTGATAAATTATTAAGAATTAAAATACATCAATCATAATTTATAAGATATAATTAATTTTTTAGAAACATTTATAACATATCTAAGATCCACAATTTATTTTGTGTGGTACTTCAGCTAACCGGGATGTCATCAGTAGCTCACTAACGCTATTTGACCTGGAGTGGTCGTCAGATGCGGCGAAAACCTTCCGCTTTTCCACTCAGTGTTTCCTCACCCGAAAAATGTCAACGCTGGCACTACTACTTAACATATTTTATTTCTCTATACTATAATTCTCTTTCTGAAAACTCTACAGGTCAAACTGGTAAGTCAATAAACTTAATTTTTATACACATGAAATACAGAGTATTTCATATATTATAATATAATATTTCATATAATACTGAGTATTATATTACGTAAATTGTACTTGCAAAATTTTCAAATAACGAAGTATTAATAAGTCGTACATTTATTCATAATTATAATTCAATTTTATTTTAATTGATTTAAATTAGAACGTTAATTAAAACTACCTGTTTGTTAAATTGTCATTGTGAATTTTATAAATAATATCATATATTTTGTAAATGCATTAAATAACTTTTATTTTGTTTAAAATTGTGTTAAGAATACAAAATAAATAATATTTCTTGATCATAATATAATATATAAGTATTGAGTTTTTCTGATTTTTTTATTAAAAAAAAGTAATTATTTATTAGAGTTTAATGAAATAGACTGTACAATTAAGTTATTTTTATAGCTTAAATGAAATATCAGCATTTATTAATATTTTATTAAGAATCCAAATATACAGTTTAAAATATATTCAATTATTTAAAAATAATAGAATAATGTTTAGAAAAAGCAAAGCACTTTTATGCACATAGATTCCTAAACGATTTTTAATTTCCCTATTAAGTATATAGCTAAACAAAAAATAATATTCTTATAAATTATAATGATTCATTCATATTTTACAAATTATAACCAAACTACAAATAATTATCTATGAGTTTAAAACAAATTATATTCGGTATATTAATTAATGTATTAGTTTAAAGGAATAAGAAAGGAAATGTTTATTTATAGAATAATAGCTTATTTTCAAATAATACTTGTATATATAAATTAAATGTTATGTTTATTGTTTAAAAATTTTCATTTCAAGAAACGCACAATTGTTTTGCAGTAAAAAATGGGGTTATTCGGAATTAATACAAATATTATTGCTCAATGTACAGTGTTTAAACAGGAATTATTAAAATTTAATTAATAATAAATTCATATAAAGATTGAAACTTTACAGAGTCCGATATTTCTATGAAATATTGTCTATAAACTTATATTATTGAAAATCCTGAACCCCATTATAAAATAAGTTAATGCGAAAACTACCAATAATCAGTTAATATAAATATTTTGTTTATTGTTCAATACATTTAATGACTATATGTCTATATACTAACTAGTGTAAATGGTATTGTTATAACAATGAAAAGAAAATTAAAAATTAATACCAAGAGAACAAATCACTGCAAAATAATATATTATTTACAATGGCTCCAAGAACGCGTTATTGTTCAGAAACCCAAACAAGGAGCAACAACAAACAAATAGTATACAATACATTTCAAACATTTATTTTTTATATTTATAAAAAAAAAATTATTTACAGATGATAACATCAATTTGATATATAACTAGCCATTTGTTTATGATAGACATGAAATTTAACTAAATTAGATTCTAAATGAAGCAATTGATAGTTTTATAAAAAAACTTGAAGTGTAATATAACATTTTTCATAATTATTAATCCTTACATAAATTTTAAAACATCAAAAATACTACGTTCGATTGAAATTGAAGTTCTAATTTTTAAAAAATTTGATATTTAAACAAAAGATAATTTTTGTTTAAAAGTTATACTTATTCTGATGAATTTAAAAAAAAATTCTATTTAAAGGCATTGAAAACTTTTATTTTATTAATAGTATTCATAATCT